GTATTCTTGTGATAGTTATAATCCACAAGTGAAATGCTGCTACAAAAATATATATAACTTGGCTTCAAGCTGCAATACATTTTAACAAAATCCTTGTATCAAGATTATAGGGAGAAATTGTTATTTTATTCCCAAGCCACTTTAGGATTATTATGTCCAGTTCTGGATGTCATATTTTAAGAAGAGCATTGTTAATTTTGAATGGTCTATAATGATGTGGCTTAAAGAAATTGCTCAGCAAGGAAGAAGGGAATATTTGAAATATTGTCATATGGAAGACAGCAGATTTGTTCTTGGATACGCTAGTGGGTAGGACAACAGTTAATGGATTTAAATTGCAATGACATTAAAAGAAAGAATCTTTTAAATGTGAAAACTTAACAGAATGAGAAGAGAGAAAAAATATATACAGTAAAAAAGGCAATGCCTTTCTTTTACTGTACATGTTTTGTTTGTATATAATCGACATAATCATGAAATCACAAAGTGTCAAGCTAAGTTTGAAGAAATCTTTACCTTTCCTTTTTCCTTTTTATTTATTTATTTGAGGTTGAAAGGCACCATACTGATGGAAAAAATCATGATAGTAATTGATTTTCCTTTTCTCACCACTTTTTCTTTCTTTGACCCAAGTACTTAGATAGATAGGCCAATGCCCTGCAGAGGGGAGAAGTTGTTGAACATCCTATTTTTGTTCAAAATGCATTAAAAATGTACAAGGACTCATTTTCTTTGCATGAGCTCACTGGTCTATGCTAAATAATACATATTAATCAGCGCTCCATTTTCTTAATTATCTACACTTAAAAGTCTGAAGATTCGGGGGGGAGGTTGTAACATTTACTTTTGGAAATCAAATGCCCCCACATAATTTTATTGATTCTTTGACACCTAATAGAATGACATTAAATCAATGCTTTTATTAAATATGCGAACAATATCGAACACCAAAATATCCTGGATGAAAGATGGGTGCTTTTTCCAGTATATTAACATACACCAATTTTTGTGTTACAGCAGGGCCATAAGCAAAAACATGTTGCTAACTAACTTAAAATTCCTGAATTTATGTTGAATTCACAATCACTCTTCTTCTGGGTCTCATGCGATAGTTTATGAGAATCAGTTTTGAGTACCACATGTCTTATGTGTACAGGTAGACCTCAATTTACAACTAATCGTTTAGTGACCATTTGAAGTCACAACAGCGCTGACAAGAAGTGACTTGTTGTACAAAGAGCTGCACAAAGCCTTTGAAAGAGGTGTAACAGCACTGAACCACAACATTTCTTTTCAAATTGTTCATGCACTGCTAAGATATTTGTTTGGTCACTTTGCATCTGCAGACAACCCAAGAAATGCTTCCAAAGCCTTACAAATGTTGTGCTTGCTGTAGTGTTTTGAAAAGTGGAGCTCCATACATGTTCCAATATGTCACAAAACAATTCTTAGGTGGAGCAATAGCATCTAAGATGCACTACATGAGGGCTGTCAAACTCGTGATCTGTGGGCCAGATGTGTCACATGCTGGCCATGCCCATTTTAGTGAAGGGGAAAAAAGTTTTTAAAAAACCAGAGGTGGCTGTGATTCTATCTTGCCAAGAGAAGTCCATGGATGTGACCAAACTTATCAAAGGTTAAGCTCAGTTGGAGGGAGGCACTTTCTTCACAATTAGGAAAATATTTTAAACATACCAAAGGAATTCAATCATACCAAAAATAGGTGCTATACAAATACACGAAGATGTGAGTTGTAGCTATGCTTTTAGCAAACAGCTAAAAGTTAGCTTTTACATAACCAGGTTAATGAATATTCAAAAAGAAGTTGAAATCTAGAAACTGTTTTATCTAAAAAAAAACCCAAATATTTATTTTTAACAATCAGTGTTCATTTGTAAATTTCTACAAATCCTTTGATTAAGGTATCTATTAGCACATATGGGCTATAGACTTCAATCTTATTCAGTTATTTTTATAGAGTAAAGCAATATAAAAATATACATTTTGCATTGGGCTATTAGTATGTGATATAGTCTACATACACTGCCAAATAGTCTTCCAGTTTTGTTGGGTAATTCAAGCTAGAAAAGTAGAAAACATACCAATCGCTCTACTTCAAGTTTATCTTAATTGGATAGTCATGCAATACAATCAGGTATTCAATACTGTAACATTTTAATATCTTGGTTTGGCATTGTTCATCTTGGATATTTCCTTGAAAAATTATAATACATCTTGTCTGAATCTAACATTCCTAGAAAATAAAGTGTCCCTTCAGGATAGAATTTAAAAACCAAGCCAAGCAAATGTTCCAATTAGCAAGCCATATTTCAGCACCGTGCATCCGTTGTTTCCTTTTGACCTGAAATTACTTCACTTTAAGTGTAGATCAACTGCCTCTCTTGGTGTTAAGTCCTTATTTAATTTTAAATTAAAGATTGTCAGTTAAGTGTGCATCACTTTCAAGGGGAAGAAAAAAATGTAATAGTGAGTGAATGACAGAGTATCCTCTATATTATTCAGAAATAATTCCAGTTTGTGCTGAATGAGACTAATTTCCAAATAAATGGGATTTAAGTTATGGGCTCATTGTGCCTCTGATATTACAATATGGACCACTTAAGAGTTGTTAATCTGTGTTGAGTGCAAGTTCAGATATGGGTTTTCTATCTTGAAAAGTTGTCTAGAAGGAGATAGAGATTGCTATTTATAAGACAAATTATGCAGACTGATACGCTTGCATACAACATGCCCCACCATGGCCTTGGGAGGAAAGCATCCTCTTGAGAGTCATAGAAAAATAATTAAATACATGGCTATTCTTTCCTTCCAGACAGCCATGATTCCCCAGGATAGGATAATAAGGGAGAGGGGGAAAAAATCCTTAAAGAGCCCAAAGGAGTGCCAAACTCTGAACTACTAGACGGCAGCATATATGACACATTCTTGTTCTCGTGTATGTGATAAGAGTCTGGTGCAGAATTGTTGCAGGGAAGGGGTTCTTTCAGGTGGTGCTAAGAGGCAAACCAGCCTCGATCCTTGGTAGGCAGAAAGAGGCCAAGAGTAGACCCTTCCTAGTTATTTACAGGGCATGTCTGATAATTGTGCAGATTGTGCTTTAATCTGGCAAGAGTCTTTCTACAGGTGAGCAACAATAAAGAAATTAATCTGAGTAAATAATCACATTGGTTTTGGTTGGCTGCCTGACATTGTCTCTAATAGTCATCTGGTTGCTTGTAGCATTAGTACTATGCAACTTGAGTGGCTGAGAAAAGCATTTAAAGCTATCCCAGTACAACCCAGGAATTAAATGCTAGGGCTCGTTTGGATTTAAAGGATGATGCCTAATGTATCTTTAGTGAGCATTCTTTCAGAAAACAAACTGCTACAAACGAGCAAACCACGTGGCTCCATCATGAGGCCCAGGGCCCTGGACTCTCAGCATTTGCTGAGAAGGTTCTTGGGAGCCTCCAGCTTGACATAGATGTTCAGCCTTCATGTATTTCTTGGAGCAAAGAGAGATTTATACAACAATTTTATTGCCCCCAGAAGTGTGGCAACAATTTTATACTGTTAGTCCTCGACTTACAACAGCTCATTTAGTGACTGTTCAAAGTTACAAGGACACCGAAAAAAGTGATTGATGACTGGTTTTTACATTCATGAGCATTGCGGCATCCCGATGGTCATGTGATCAAAATTCAGACTCTTGGCAAGTGACTCATATTTGTGATGGTTGCAGTATCCCAGGTCATGTGACCGACCACCTTTTGCCATCTTCTGAAAAGCAAAGTCAATGAGGAAACCAGGTTCACTTAACAAGTGCATTACTAATTTACAGTAAAATCTACAGTGATTCACTTAAAAAATATGACAAGAAAAGTCGTTAAATGAGGAAAAACTCACTCAACAAATGTCTCACTCAGCAACATAAATTTTGAGCTCAATTATAGTTGTAAGTCGAGGTCTACCTATAATGCAGGCATGAACATACCAGAAAGTCCCAAGAATTTACATGAGAAGCACAGCAAATAGGAGGTCTCAGAAGTTACGTGGTAACCTTCACATCCTATGGTATTAGAGCACCAATAACCTTGAATAAGGTGAAAAGGTAACTCTATGGAAATGTCTCACAGTGACATTTGCTCAGATATGGGAAAAGTAAATATTGATTATATAAATACTATATGAGGTTGGGGGGGGTTGGTTTCAGATGAATTAACTGTGAGGCCTATATGCATATTAAGTTTGGTCAGACTTATTCCTGGTCACTTATTTCTTCCTCTGCACTGCAGCCATAATTTCCAACTTAAACAAAGGAGGCAGCAGCCTTTAGAAACTGGGTGGGCATATCAATGAAGGGGGAACACACAGACTGATCAATATCTGATGTGTTACAGGAGGACGGAGGGATAAAAACAGAATTTGACTGGCATAGCAAGTTCTCATATTATGGGCATCTTCAGCAAAGGAAGATTTTTGTCTTTTTAAAATTATATTGTTTAATTGTCAGTAAATGAAAAAAAAAATCACTGCCTGATATGCAATTTCTTTCCTTTTTTAGTTGTTTTAAAGACTGGGAATTGGCCTTCTGCTCTCTCATGAACTAAACTGAATTGCACTTAAGCATCGTTCAAGTGCAATTTATTTTAATGGCTACATATTTATTTTCCCTTTGAAATCCATCTTATCTGAACTATTTAAGTTTGGCTAGATCATGCCCCCAACCTTGGTAACTAATTCTGAGGTTGTCATTGGTGCAATATCAAAATAACTTTCTTTTAAAAGGACAGCATAACTACTGTACATATTTGCGTCAAAGCTCAAGAGCCTTATTTTGCTCAGAGTTATTCAGAGTTAAAAGAGAAACAGGTGAATACATTTTAAGTTAATTTTACAAAAACAAAGATACTTTAGGAGCTAGAAAAAATACGAGAGGCTATATTTTACTATCAGTTTTTTCTCTATTACCACAAGCTTTGGCAGGAAAGATTTAAAAAAAGAAAATAGCACCAGTGAGCTTCAACAATAATACATCCATCTTAGTATGCATGAGATGTAATGAAGATATAAATTTTGGCCAGGAAGGTTGTGTAGGTTCCTTGACGCCAAAGCTTCATTTCAACATCTAGCAAGAAGTCTTTGGGTTCCCTCACTTGCCTCTGAAGATAGACTATACCAGTATAGGAATTAAGCTTTCGGGTATTGAAGTAGTTTTCTTCATTTCCTTTGTTGATTGTAAGGATTATGTTGTCTCCAGCATAAGCAGGCGAGGGACCAATTCGGAAAATATGAGCTGGAACAACAATGTTTGTTTGGAAATTAAGCTGATAATAAGTAATGCGGAGTGGAGTGTTTTGGCAATCCAAATAGTTGAAGCAGTTGATACGTTCACATCTCCTGAGAGAAGAGAAATAGGAAATATTTAGCACTTCAGTAACTGGGATTTTGAAGGCGAGCTCTTGGACAGCATATTAAGCAATACATAGCACAGTTGAATATTACTGATCGTGCAATTAGCAGCTGCTTGCTCTTCTTATATAACCCTCACCATGTCAATGCAACTATCAAGCCAAGTATCAAAAGGTCATGAACCTGAAAACCTCTCCTGGAAACTGCAATGAATGTAAAGGAATGCGTAGAAAATTATTCTGCACAGGTTGGCCTGGAAATGAATGGTGAGATTCATCCACTTACAATATTCTGATCAGGCCACATGAAATCCCTGGAACTCATGCTTACAAAGTTAGCATCATTTCCAACTTATGAAAGTTACTGTGATGGTTCCTTCATGGAACTCTGTTGTGCATGTAAAGTAAGCATTTATGTATGCTTACATAAATGCAACATGGTGTTTTATTAATTGCACAGTAATCTGACGTGCAAAACTTCCATTATGCAACTTCCATTGTTTCTGGAATGGTTACATGGCTGAACACACTGCATCAAATGAAAGCATCAGAGTAAGATACCAGTTTATGCTATATACAATTTTTTAAAATATAGAAGAACATATTGTGTGCCAGCTATGATCTTTCCTGGATCAGTTACCTTGCATTACTGGATTATCACTATGCATTCTACACGACACTCTTTTGAAGACAAACCCTAAATTCCAGCTGATGAAACCTGAAGCATTCTGGGTATTTATGGGTTCATAACTATTATGAGAGCTGCACTGATTAAGAGTTAGCCTTAGTTGCAATTTGACTTGCTGGTTGTCACCTTTAAAGCTCTCTATAGTTCAGGGCCTAGATATTGCCATGACCGCTTTCCCTAAGTTGAAACTGCCTAGTCAATAGTCAACAACTGGAAAAGAGGGTTTGCTGAAGATCTTATCACTGAGAAAATGTCATATTTATGACATTCTGGCTTGAGCCGTCTCAATGATGGACCTCTCCTTGGGTATGTATACCTTAGACCTAGATATTTAGACCCTTGTCACTACATTTCCAGAGCTGTAATACAGCTCTTCAGAAAGGCATTTAGGAATAAATAACATAATACAAACAGTAGCACATGGACCTGAATTGACATAATTGTAAGAAACGTTCTTTGTTTTTAAGCTGTTGATATTAATTCAGTAAGCCAGTCTGATTCTGGAAATGGACAGCATATATGTTATAGTGAATAATTTAACTGTAAATACTAGTAAATAATCAGTACTGATCCCATTGAACCTAGAATTTATTAAAGTGCTGTACTGATAGCAGGTTTTGCAAATAATGCTTTTATTGCATGAGTATTGATCTTTATGGTTTGGCCTGGGCCATTATTTGCACCTTCTCTGCTTTATTACCACACATCTTTGCAAACCTAAGAGATCTCCACTGAGGTTTCTTCATTTCTATGGGGATCAGTGGTACATTCTTAAAGCCAGGTACTTATATCCTGTTTAAATTATATGGCCCTCATAATTATATGGCCCTCATAAGTCATTGAATAGTTGTTTTTAGTTTATAATTTGTGTAAATTTTCTTTTTCTACTATTTTATAAATTGAATCCATTTACTTTCCTAGGCTAGGATAACCTTTGGCATACAAGAGATATTCCAAAAACTGTGCTTATCTGGTAAAGATTTGTCTAACAATAGCATTTTTAAAAAAAATTCATTAATTGGAAATAAGGTGAAGCTTTCTTAAGATGTAACTAACAGTGGCTTTCTGACCCCACTGAGGAATTAGATCTGTTTATCTTTATAGATTATATCTAATTTTCTAAATGTTTTCTAAATGTTTATTTATTCAATTTATATAGCCATCCATCTCAGCTTACAATAAACAGATCAAATATGTAATATAAAAACAAAAACACATAGCAACATAATATCATAAAAATAACTATCAGCAAAGCCAAGGGATGGGCTTGATCACATCCTCAGGGCCACAAAACCAAGTTTTCAGATCCTTAAAAGGGCCAGCAAGGTTGTCACTAGTCTAATCTCAGACAGACTTATTTTCCAATGGGCAGGAACCTTAGTTTTTGCCTCCTTCTAAGCAGTCAAAAAATCCATTATATTTCCATCACAATTCTGAATGGCTCATTCAGATGTGTAGAGACAAATGATGGTCCTTTTATAAAAAGCTGTAGATCTCTATCAGATGAACTGTGCCTGAAAATCCCAACTACTGTGCAATTGTACAATGCCTTACTTGCACATAATTCTGGATGATGGATTTCTCTATACTCTGAATACATGGTTTCCACCAAAAAAATAATTTTCTCCATTAAAAATCAATAGGCTTGCAGTCCCTCCTTCTTTGCTCCTTTTGACTTTGGACCCTCTTTGCTCAGCCTGCTCCCATCACTAGTACCAGATACTGTCAAGAAGGACATTTGTTTTTGCTCTCTAGCCCTAGATCTTGCCTTTTCCAGATGTGCCGTTTATACTCTTTCTGTTCCTTAAGGTCATAGTATATCAAAGATATTCTCCCATTGGTTATTTGATAAATTTCTGATTTAAAAAAATGGATTACCCAGTGTCTCCTTAATGTTATTTTCTAGTTTCTCATTTTCTGTAGGATGATGTTCTCTCTCATTAACTGAGGCCTCCTTTAGGAGTAATATAAGAGCCATAGATCATTTATTGTGAATACCATGCCATTTGTTTTTCAAATTTTTATTTAATGGGAAGGTATCTTGGATCCTCATTCATTTTTAGTCATCTGGGGATAAAATTACCATCACATTTTGTCCCTTAGAGCACCTTCATGGCTTTTAAACTCATAGCTCTTACAGCACCTTTTTAAAAAAAAATCACCATGAAATTCAACTATCAAAAATGGTTAAGACTATCAAAAAAGAAAAGAAAAGAAAAGAAAAGAAAAAGAAAAAGAAAACCATGGCCAAAAGAGCTGTAGCCTGTTCATCAGAATAACGAAACGTATCTAGTTCAATTTTAGCTAAATATTATACGACATACAAATGTAATGATCTAACTGCATACGGGCTTCTAGAAAATTTGATGGTAGTATTTATCACATTTTTATTGCTGAAGTTTGGTTTGGAAAGGCAAGAATATGGGATGAGAGTGGGGAGTACATTTACATGAGAAAATGGAGTAAGTGTAAATGAGGATGGTGTGTACATGTATCCATGTAAGTAAAATGTATATTTGATTTTGAGAATGTCTACCATGAGTTCTTTTCCAGTGAAACTAGAGCTACCTATTTCAGTTTATGGTCACATTTACTCTGAACTGTAGAATCAATGGTACATTGTTCCCCAAATGCTTTGCCTGAAGCTATTTGTAGCAGGTTTGTCTTTAAAAATTAAATAACATGTTGGTATTAATGGATTAGATCTTTGAAAAAAGCACAACAAATAGAAGTGCAACAAACACTCTATGTCCAGCTGAGTAATTATTAAGAGTGTTAACGTAATTAGCTGTCATGTAAGAGGAGTTTGAAGGGTAATTATTAGACTTACATGTCCGACACTTTTCTGTAGTTCGGTGGACACTCAATTAAAAGGCATCGGAAATTGCCTTGAATATTATAGCAAGATTCTGCTGAAGAACAGTTGTGGGTTCCCATTGCACATTCATCAATATCTGAGGATGAAGCACACACAAAAATGGCAATTCGGTAGCATCCTTCTTCCACAAGTGAACAAATCATACCAACTCCACTGGGTTACATATAGGAAAATCAATCATAATGACTCATTTCTATTAATAAAAAGAAAGATTGCCCCACCATGTTAAAGGCTTCAGTTAAATTAGTTAAACAGATTGTAAGTTATGGACTCATTTTATAAACTGCTTAAGCAAGAATGTAGGGACCTTTTCTGAATTACCTTAGTATCAGTATTTGGTAATTAAAAGCATTTATTTATTAAGTTAAATAAATAAATCCGACCACCCCAAGCCAGTACTTGTTCCACAGACAAAGGCTGTACTCCTATCACCTCTGGGATAATCGTGAATCATAAGTATAGTTAAATTTCCCTGTCCAAAGTCAAAGAAATAGCCAGGGTGGGAAATTTGAGATAGAATTTCTTTTCTCTGTTGGTGAAGATGTCCTGGAAAGTCTAAGGAGATGTATGGGTTAGATTGGGCACTCCTATTTTGACTGAACCAAAAGCCATTCCTCACAACCTCTGATAAATTCTGTTATTTTTCACTGAATACATGGAATTTCACTGAATAAAATGAAAAAGAAACAGGTAAGGAAAAAAGGTACCTTCACACCTGACCCAATCCTTTCTAAGCACTTTGTAGTCATCTATGATATGGTCTTCACTACAGCCAACCCCAGTTGATTGAGAAAAAAACAAGACAAATCAACACCCCCTCTAGCTGAATCAAAGTAAAGGTTCCCCTTGCACATATGTGCCAGTTGTTTCCAGGTCTAGGGGGCGGTGCTCATCTCCATTACAAAGCCAAAGAGCCAGCGCTGTCCGAAGACATCTCCGTGGTCATGTGGCCGGCATGACTAAACTCCAAAGGCAATGGAATCTGTTAGCTTCCCACCAAAGTGGTCCCTATTTTTCTACTTGCATTTTTACATGCTTTCAAACTGCTAGGTTGGCAAAAGCTGGGACAAGTAATGAGAGCTCACTCCATTATGTGATGCTAGGGATTCAAACTGCTGAACTGCTGACCTTTCTGATCGACAAGCTTGGCGTCTTAGCCACTGAGTGAATTTTTTTAAAAAAATATAGTGCCCAGATCTCTAAATTTCTACAACTCCAGGGGTAGTAAATGTTCCCTCATTTCACACAGAAAGAGAGAAAATGAACATCACACCCATGCAAACCCATTTCAGAACATCTAGTATGCATTTGTTGGATAACTCCAGAACCTCTGAGTAGGGGAAAATTTTGGTAGCTGTCAAGAGGATGGGGGTTTAAAAAAATATGTATATAAATTCCCATTGAAAGCCTAGTATCATTCTTTTGCAACCAGGAGCTCTTCCCCAAAGATGCATTCAGAGATGTAAGTTGTTGTGGAAGACCTCTATGGTTTGGATGGAGAAGAAGGGCTTGCCTGAGCCCAGATCATGTAAGTGGGATAAAGTAAAGAGTTCAGTATATGTTGCTTACACTTAAGCTGAAAATATTAAACTGAACAGAGTTTTTAAAGCAGGAATTATGAAACCATTGCAAAGTTTACTAAAGAGAATAAGTCTGGATAAACTAGTAAATATATCTGTGACATCTTCTGGAGTGCAGGTGGGGTAAGGTAGGATAAGGCAAAAAGTAAAACTTCCAGTTCCTGCAGAGCACAAGCATCACAAATCATAACTTGCAAATTGTAGTTTGAACTGTTCAGCACTATAGCCAGAAGAGTTATCTCAATTTTCAAAAGGGGATGAAAATATACAATCACATGGGGCATGGTATTCCTGCAGAAGTAATACCAAAGCTCTGGGTGGAAGCATACAGAAGCAGGCGGACACAAATCACTTTCCATTTCTGCCTGCAATCTGCAAGACTTTTTAATTACATGACTGAATAGGGTTGCTTTTCAGGATGGCCCTAAATATAGTTTGATTTCCCCATTTCCGGATCTCCAACTGCTGTGGAGATGTTGATATTGATAAAGTAGCTGCAGAATCCTTGTTGCATATATACTTCTCTACATAGTTGGGAGGCTCACAGATTTTGTTTTAAGACCAGAATTTCATTGATTCAAGTTATATCATTGTGTTTGACGGAAACAATAATTTATTTCTATCTAGGATACTTAAGGTAAGAATGAAAATCTTGCAAGAAAATCTTTCAAGAGCAAGATAACAAAATAGCCATTTGTTGATTTGTGATAGCTGCAAAAGACAAGGAAGGAAATCCTGGCTTAACTCTTTAGCCATTTTAAAAATAATCTCAAATGTCTAGACAGCATTCAGAGGTTTGCCACTAAAATAAATGCTAACAGACAATCCACAAGCAAAGTATTGCAGAGAAATCTGCCAGTTTTTACAGAGGAGACACTCTCCTAAATCAACGTCACTCTTGCAAGGAGTGTGGCTTGTTTAAAGCCATAAGAAAAGAAATTACATGGAAGTAAGAAAAATGACTCCATTGCTGAACAATTTTATGTGTACATTTTTAAATCTCTGCATTAACTTCTACATGTATTTTTGTGCACAATTTCTAATACATACACTTTTGTGATGCTATAGAAGATTCCCTAAAATTGTATTTCAACATTTTTCATCTATTATATGTATTTTTAAATAAGTGATTTTCCCCAATATTTTGTTTGAGTATGCAAGGTTCGTTGGCACATACTTTCCTACTTTATGTTTAGCTTCCTATCCTTTATTGCATTTTTTTTTTAAAAATGAAGATTTTATTCACATACAGCGATGGTAAATGAAAATTAGGTCAATTCATCATGACCTAATGGCAAGAAACAATTTTCTCTCTCTCATTTTTACCTCGACAAGTCCTTCCATTGGCGGCCATAGTATATCCTTGATCGGGGCAAGCACACTGATAACTCCCGGGCACATTGAGACAGCGGAAAGTGCACAGGATGCCTGCACTTTGGGCACACTCATCAATATCTGGAATTGGTACATTAGCAAACATGTGAGGGCAATGGTTTTATTCTCCCAAGAAATGTACACTAGTGCTTCAATGGAACAAATGAGATGTACCTTTACAAGAATGGCTGTCTTCTGCTAATTGGTAGCCTTGCCTGCAGTAACACTGATAGGAACCATAAATATTAGCACATTCTTGATTGCATGGATTATTGTCACATTCATTGACATCTGTGTTGAAAAATGAGTATCAAAGTGATGTTAAATTCAGTTACTGCCACATATCTGTCAGACAAAGTAGAAAAAACCCTTAACTAAATGGATTGTTTTTTTAAAAAAAGACACGGAGCATCTTTAAGCCTGAAGATCACGGATGGTGGTTTATACATGCAGGAAATATATTTGATTAAAATACTAAATTATTAAATTGAGATAATATTAATAAGCATTTGAAAGTCCTAGATGATTACTTTAACTATAACTTAGATGTAGGATGTATCATTTATGGTATCTCTAGGTCTATAGAAAGTTGTATCACACAATCCAGAAATAGATGGAGCCAGGATGTTTTCAGGAAGTTTAAGTTTCACTGAAAGTCTTAAACTTTTCATATAAACTTATGCAAAGTCCAGATAATTCTCACCTAATGGATGTCAAGTCTAGTGTCTATTTAAAGCTACTTGCACTTTGTCTACAAGTAAATAGGTCAGCAGGTGATGCTGTCAATATGGCATTGCCCTACAGGAGGAAGAGGCTCTAGGACCCAAAGAGATGCTAACAGTGTATACACAGGCCCGCTCTGGCCCGCTCTTTCTCCACCTTTGACTTAACAGTTATAACATCATTCATTTTTATCATGCTATTATCATTGTAATGTGGTTCAGAACAATAAACTTGCAATGCAAGTTAAATTAGACTCTAGTTATTCCTTTTCAGTGAAATACAAATACATGAAAAAGGGGCCCAATGGCAGTTAAGGCAGGGTTTCATTTTTATGTTATACTAGATAAAGCACATTGGAAAAATGGGATGTAATTGTGACAAGTAAAGAATAGAATAATATAAAAGAAAGCACAGGGATTTCAATACCCGCATTTAGAAATGTGTTGTTTTCGGTAAGTCATTTCTCACTGTGCTGACTTTTTTTTTGGGGGGGGGGGGGGAGAGAGATTCATCTACAAATACCTTCACAATGTTTCCCGTCATAAGCCAAGCGAAATCCAGAAGAACACGAGCAATGATAGGATCCAGGAGTGTTTTCACACGAATGCTGGCAGAGTCGGCCTGGATAATTCCAGCATTCATTTATGTCTATTGCAAAACAAAATCAAAACTGATAATCATAAAATACACTTGGGAAATTGTGAGGCAGAAAAAAGGGCAAAGGTGTTAGAGGAAGATTTGTGTAATTGTTTCCATCTTGGATGTTTACATTTTCTTAGTTTATTTGCTTATCAGTATAATGAAACAAAGAAGTAGAGAAAAATGCAGCTACCACCTTATCCAATAAACCAGCACTTCATTTTTGCAAAGGTTTCTACATTTATATTCTATGTTTTTGACTTACCAAATCACTTATAGCACAGAGAATGGTTTTGAAAGCCTCCAGAATATGAAGTAATACTAATGGATGTGTCCCACTAGATAGGACCAGACCAAGAAATGAATTGCACAGGAAGGTTAAAATCACTTTCATGCAAGTCTGATGACTCCTTTTCCTACTTATACTTCAGTGAATTAAATTAGGAACGTGTCTATTTGAGTTGCTTCTCAATACTATCTGACTGTTCTGGACTTAAGGTAAGTTTTAAGTCTTGTTGCTTTGGCAATGGAGCTTGCATACCTCTGTCATATTCTTTTTTCTCTATAATTAGATAATTTTAGACTGACAGTTCATGAATTTTATTTTTTTGGTAAGCAAGGTAATTCATTAGCTAAAGTTAGGGACACAACCTCCTTTTTCAACTGTCAATCTCCTATAATTTCTATCCCGTCAAAGCCCTGTCCCATGCCCCAGCAATGCCAATCTACTGGTACGACTATTAGAAGACATTCTTTGGCTCAGCATCCTGAAGCTATATAAGCTCCAAGCCCTCTCTGTTTTTGTTTCTTCCAGACTCTAAGCCTCATAACCTTTAAATCTGTTTGTTCCAAATCAGCATTGTTAAGATTCCATTCATGTACATTTTCCCAATCATGACAAATGTGAATAAATCACTTCTCTTATATATTCTGCTTCAGCTGAAATCATTTAGAATCCAGAGCATATCTATCTGGAGTAGAAACAGACTAGGAGGGGAGATAATCATTATAGTGGTCTAGAGGTTTACAAGCAATTCTATAAAGTAAGAGTGTTCTGCCCTCCCTTTTCTCCCCTCTTCTAATTTTCTGAAATTGGAATCTCAAAGGAGCACAAACTGGCTGATTGTTTCTGAAATTGCCACTTTCGTTTACTTATTAATAACATTCAGAAGTTCTTTTCGCAAGGTATAATCTGTAACATGCATTGTGTATAGGAATTTGCAAAGGTCAAAATCTTCAAGCACATCTCCATGGTCATCTCTTTCAAAACTTATTTCGACTTCAATGCTACCTTGGAGAAGAAAGCTGGGGAAGGGAAGAAATGTTCATACCATTCTTTCTAATTCCAGGCAACCTTCCATGCTAAGCTTAAACAATTATGCTGTGTGAGTGTATGTGAGTGTACACAAAGTTTTGCAACAATCTGCCATTCATTTATATTTAATTCAATTAAATGACTTGACTCATGTGTCATAAGGAGACTACAGCACCTACTTGCAATGACTGGGTTATAGCATCCACTCAGAAGTTGAATAGCTGGTAGATTGTTACCTAGCATCAGAGGTGCTATTCAGCAGGTTCTGACCAGTTCTGGAGAACCGGTAGCAGAAATTTTGAGTAGTTCGGAGAACCACCTCTGACTGGCCCCACTCCCATCTATTCTCTGCCTCCTGAATTCCAGCTGATCGGCTGGGTCTTCTTTTGTTGCCCTGCACAGGAGAATGGAGCTGGAAAGCTGGTTAGTGGTGTGGGGAGAGAATGGGGATTTTACAGTGTCCTTCCCCTGCCATGTCCACCAAGCCACACCATGCCCACCAAGCCATGCCCACAAAACCGGTAGTAAAATTTTTTGAATCCCCCACCATTGCCTGGCATCCACATCACTCAGGACCTATTTTCTTTGGAAGTGTGAACATACTTAGTAAAACAGAGATGGAGCCTTTTTTTAGCTCATCAATAAGTACTGGCTTAGGTTCATTTCAATCAATTGCTGTACTAGAAATAAAACTGGAGCATGCAATTATCAAACAGACAAATTAGTCCATGTGCTTGAAGGGTACTTCAGAAGCAATTGTGCTATCTTATTTGAGCTTTAGTAGAATTAATACTTATGCTGAAATCAATAGTGTATAAAATCGGACCACGGGTCCATATTTCAACAATCAGCAATACCAATTCCCCTGTGTCATACTTACCAATGCAAGTTCTGCTGAATGAATCATACTGATATCCCATCTTGCAATCACAGCGGTAAGCTCCAGGTAGATTGTGACAAATCTGTCCTTCTCCACAGCGGTGTGTGGCAGACTGACATTCATCAACATCTACAGAAGCAAAAAGTAGCAATTACTCTAACCACCATGAGCCAGTTGATGACCACTCTCCTTTTGTATCACAATTTTCAGCAAATGTCTGGAATGAAGGTGCTTGCAGCCTGAGCATGCAGCAGGAGCAGAAGTGGGTTAATTTTTCCCAGAAACTGCAGGTAGAATGATTAGTGATTACAATTCCCTTTGCCAAAGCTGGCCTCCTGCAGCTCTGGGGTTCTTACAGACAAACCCTATAATTTAAAATAAAATAGAAATTCAAGTTGCAAAGCCTTGGGGAGCACTCTATTTTGGGTCCAAATGAACATTAGCTTCCTTTTAATTTTTTTTCTTTAGGTATATTGAATATAGAAACTGCTACATTCATATCTTTAATTCTCCTAGGTTGTTTGGAATGTCCTGAATTATTATGTCCTGGGCATAGGCAAGAAGCAATGGATGGAAAGTAATCAAGGAGAGAACCAACCTAGAACTAAGAAAAATTTCCTGACAGTTGGAACAACTAATTAGTGGATGTTGTAGGTCCTCCAATACTGGAAGTTTTTAAGAAGAGGCTGAACAACCATTGTCTGAAATGGTATAGAGTTTCCTCCTTGAGATGGGAATTGGACTAAAAGACCTCAAATGCTCCTTCAAACTCTGTTGCTCTATTATTCTGTTCTGTTATTAAACCAGCATTTTCAGATAATAGGAAACAAGTTCAGAGATGTAAAATGAAAAAGGCAGAGTTAGATTTCATTACAAATTGAAATCTTTCCTTGACCTCTTTCCATACCAATTAAGCAATTTGTCATATACTCTGAGGACTGATAATACTTTTCATCCATTCACATGTGCCCAACAAATGCTTTACATTTTAAAAAATAATTTATTGTTTGTTTGTTTATTTGGTCTTTCATTTAAGAACTAAAGATAAGGTATATAGCACTTCCTTCTCCTGTTTTTACTGCAATAGCAACCATATGAAATAAATTGAACTGGAAAAGACAGAGCTAATTCTACTCAGTAGATTTCCATGGGTAAAGTATATTTGAATTCATATGACCTCCATTCTAGTCTAATATCTTAATCACTAAATAATATTGGCTCTCAGTACAGGTGTTAGCATCACACTAGGCTGTAGCATATAATATCATGAGCATGGATAACAATTGCTTAATTTTTATAACCTTTGGGATCCTTGGATTTACTTGTAGACAACTTTATTTGGAGATAAAGAAATTATATCAGAATTTCAAATGCCATTTCTATAGCCAATATTATAAATAAATGACATATATATCTACAGTACTATACATTTACAAAACCTGAGTTTGGTTAGAAAGATGCTATTTTAATTTATTTTTAATCACTTGTTTTAAATAGCCTAGCAATATATAATGAATCAAAAGATGATTTTTCAAATTAAAGCATCATCTCTTTGCATCTCTGTTCACTTTACAGCAAGCATTAGAACGTTAATTTTAATAATGATTTAAATCTGCCAATTAACAACACAAGTTGTCTTTAATTCATTTGTTCAACTCTTTGAGTAGTTTTCTTGGAAATTGTGCATTCCAATCACTTCTTCTTTCAATTACTTTCAGCACATTATTCTGTCAAAAGAGCATCCCATTTCATGACAGTTACAGTGTTTTCCAGCTAAATGTTGGAAGAAACTGTTGCTAACCACTCTATTGCATTGAAAAATAATAAATTTGTTGAGAATTCTCTAAGCAAAAAGAAGCAACCACAATGACTCCATTCTTCTGCATAACCTGTCCCAGTGATCTATTTCTAGAACCATAAGTTTATCTAATTTAAATTTAATTATCCATTGTATTATTTCTTGCAAAAGAAAGAAGAAAATTAGAACCACAATGAGTTTTTATTTGGTTGCTTATGCTTTCAATCTATTAACACAGACATGCACGCGCACACACACACACACACACACACACAAAAGCAATAGTGTTTAAAGTCTAAGCATAGGAGTATACTTACAAGGGCAGAGGTACAATGTTTTCATTACTAATATTACAATGAAGTTTGAAGTTTCTAGATACAACAAAGCTCTAATTTCTATAATTTCAAAAGTTTCTAAAGAAGTCTTACTAGTGCTAACCAAGTCAGGTAGCTGATAGGGTAAATGAGCAAGATGAAGAATTTCACACCAACATCAGCATTCCACTACTGTAGTAAAGCAGATATATTTTTCAAAGCACTGTTCTGTTTCTAGATTGGTTAATGATAGTTGGCCAAGCTGTTCTTAATTTCCTTCTAAGTCAAGACTCTCCCAAAATAACACATTCTTATTACTCAACTGAACTGCTATTAAACACCTGACATAAACCATTGAAGAAATCTATATGATTATTTCACATACAAATTATGTCATATACTTTTTCTATTGCGTTACATCACCATCACTACTGCCTAGTCAATATTCATTGATGGATTTAACAGAATACCAAACAGCTTTGATTCATACAGTCAAGTTACTGAGATTACATTTGAATTTGAACCCTCAGCAACTTCCAGCATTGAAGCAGCCACAGTTTTGTCAAATTTCAATCCCATGGAAGCCATGGCTTCTGGATTTTGGATACATTCTTTAAATTAATCAATTTGGGCAAAAAATGTTCCCTACTTTATGATAGATAATTCCATCCAATTCAGGGTTCCAAACAATCAAATAGGCACAAGAGGTTTATGATCAGATGAATTTGACTAATGTTGTAAAGCTGAGACCTTTGTAGGTTGAGATAGTGTAAAGAAGCACCTTCTTTTCTCTAGCCTAAATATAACTTAATCTAACTGTTAGATAAACCTGCTTTTCATAGATATAAAGAATGAATCTTTACTTTTTCTAAGTCATGCATAATTTTATTTCTATTAGACAGTTTTTCCAGTTTCTTGATTATTTTCATTTCTTGGAGTTGGTCATTTAAAGCGGGGTGGAGAGACGGAATGAATATGTAAGAGATTGTATGATCCAATGGGCAAAGAAGTTTGGTTAAAGTATAATGATTGGCCAATGGGAAAAGTTGTACTTTAATGGACTGAAATTCAGATTGAATTATAATTTGAAAGAAAACTTCTGTAAGATGATGTATCATTGGTATTTAAAAGCAGAGAAATTGCCAAAAATGTGTAAGGAAGTTTCAAATGTATGTTAGAAATGAACCGCAAAAAGGGTAGTTTTTAATAATCTCTGATGGACTTGAAATATAGCCAAGAACTACTGAGATCAGATTTCTACTTTATTTCAGCAGATTCTTAAGATAAATGAAAAAATGAAAGCGAAAGTTTTCCTTTTAGGTTTGATGGATAAAGAATCTGAAAGAAAATCTGGAACATTATTACTATATAAGTTGGCAACAGTCAGAATTTTATGTGCACCGATGGAAAGATACACTAGTTCCCACAATGGAAAAATGGATGGTAAAGTTGACAGAGTTTATAGAAAGGGCTTAAATTGTGAAATGTAAAGCAAAAAGTTAGTATTGTATTATTTCTGTTGCACCAAAGACAGAAGTCATTATTTTTTCTCTTTTTTTTTCTTTTCTTCTGTACTTTTATCTTACAATAAAAATTTTAAAAATGCAAAAAAAAAAAAAAAGGAGGAGAGAAGATGTGATGACCAGAACAATACAGACTGTTCCAAATGTGGATATGGAATTGAGCTGAAGAAAGGAGTTTCAATACTGTAGTTGATACTATTCCATTGGATGAATATGGTGAAAAAACAAATCCTAAATGGGAAATGATTCGCACCTTATTAATAGTTTTATTTAAGTGTGTGGTGTGTCCATATTTGAAAGATTGTGTAAAGTTCTGTCTCAGACAGTATCTCCAGAAAGATATTGAAGCACTAGAGTAGGGCTGTCAAACGCACAGCCCACGGGCCAAATGCATCACATGCTAGCCATACCCACACCATGGTTTAGCAAAGGGGGAAAGTCATGATACATCACATCATGATAATGCAAGTTTGACAGCTCTGTACTAGAAAATTGCAGAATGATCTAAGGAAACAGACTAATGAGGAAAGATTTAATGTTTGGGATGTACCTACAAATATACATAGATAATTTTTTGTCCCAGTGTACTTCACTGTAAAATGAATTGCACCAAATCTTGTTTTCATGCTAATGTCTCCTATCATTGTTTGAAAAGATTGTTTTGAAACACACCATATTCACTTTATCTTGCTTGCAAAGTTTATCTCTCATTATTCATATATGATTTGGAGTCCATGTTCCTGAGTGACCTTATTATTTATATTTATCCTTTAAAAAAAAATCTATTATTTTATTCCCATTCTCTGTGTTGTATAATAAAACTTACTGATCCATAAAAGGGCATTTCTCATGATCCAGTGCATGCCTGAATTATGCTTGCTTCAGTTTTTAGAAATCACAAGGAACAGAAGAAGCATAAATCACTAAAACGTCTATACTATTGATACATGTATGTGTCTTATATTAATCCATAGAAATAATTATTTTAGATTTTAGTTCCCTTGTTGGCATTAACAAGGACAAGAGTAATTATTTTAGCAAACACTAGTATAAATGTCAACATTTCCTGATGAATAACACTGCCTAGTGAAAAGCAACAGCAATCAGTAACACTGTTCACTGCCAAGCATTTGGCAGACTTGTCTTTCTCACCTGTTGAAGTCTATTTTAAGATTTAGCAGGTAGGCAATGTATATAACTCAATTTCTTTTGGATGGCAACTAAGGCCTTCCATTATAAGCCAAAGAACATTGAATGTATCTCTACCAGCACCACAAAGATTTGCAACAAATGCTTTTATGTATGCATTGGAATTCAAAACATGCATGTTTACAGAAATGTATCAAAACTCTTTGAAAATGAGATTAAAGAGAGAGAGTGAATCTAACCATACCTATAGCTGGGTTTTTTAATCTGACTCTTACCAACACATCTGGTTCCATCTTCACTTGAATGATATCCCCTGCTGCATATTAAGAGGTTCTTCTGACAAGTGTAAGACCCAACAGTATTGATGCAATTGAATCCAGCCTTACATGGCTCAGGAAGTGATGTACATTCATTAATGTCTGTGGAATAAATATTAATATATTGCTATCAGTCTTTAACTTAATTAGCAACCCATTTTCCAGCTGTTCTTTGTTTCCTGTTCATTGGCCTTGATTTATTGTGCAATAAATTCCAGACCAATAGAGTTTTAGTTACCCATAGTTAAAATTGTAATATTTCAAAAATCTTAATATTTACTTCTTATTTTATTGTATTTTAAAAGGGAATTAATTTGAGAGTGGGAAAACAGTATAACATTAAAGATGACTGAATGTAATGAAATGTACCGCAGGTGATAGAATAGCATCTGGAACTCATTAATTGAGGAATAGAAATACTCACCGACACAGTTTCCCTCCGGATCTTGTAAAAATCCTTCCATGCATCGTTGCTTTGATTCACAGTAAAACGATCCTTTTGTATTTTGACATGCAAAGTTTATCTTGCAGCTGTGAGTTCCTCTTTCACATTCATCAATATCTTTTGTAAAAAAAAAAAGAAACAATTTAGCTACACCATTTCTAAAACTCTTGTGGCATCTTTTGTTTCATGTACATGTGTAAGTTTATAAAGAGGAATGCTACAATGCAAGATGCTATTAATATCTAATAGTAAATGTAAAATACTTTAAGGCAGCAATCATTCATTTTCTTGCCTGACTCCATTTGGAAAGAATATTTGCCCTACTGACATGTAAAAACCCTGGAAAATTATATGCAATCCACTTAAGGGAATTTAACAAAATAGAAAACCAGCCCTCCACATTTATAATCAAATGTGGATGCAGAAATCCAAAGTCAGATACTTAAATATTAGTCATATGTGGATTATTTTGTTTGTTACTCAAATTTCCAGATATCCTTGGTTAAAAAAAATAGAGGATGAACAAATACCCGTCTATGTTTGATATCCAAGCTCAAATGATCCTACTTTGGGCATAGCTCTCTGGAAGGACTCTAATTCTGGTAAATGTAGAAGGAAAGAGAAGTGGACAACCCATAACAAGATGGATGGATACACTCATTGTATACACTCAACAGAATAATTCTAACCTATTTGTAATTATGTTAGCTTATTTATAATTTTATTGATTATATTACTATACATATAATTATAAACAATGTTCATGTTTAATTTAGCAGTGCTCTTTCTTCATCTAATTTCTACCTCTTATCTCTAACAATTGATATAACTTTTCCATGTTAAGTAGTACTCTGTATCTCCTTTATCTTTTATTTTCAATGTCACTCTATCCATCTCTGCACAATCCAATATTTTCCAAATTATATTTTCACCTGATGGGGCATTCTCATCTGATGGGGCATTCTCATAATTGCTTATTATAGACCCAGAGTCTAGGAATTAACTGGAAAAACCACACAGAAACCTGCGTTGCCATTTTTAATATGCTAGACTAGGATATGAAAAGTGGCTGCTAGATGCTTTTAAATAAGGTAGTTCTCATTTAGCAACCACAATTGGGAGTGGCAGCTCAGTCATTAACCAAAAAGGTTGCTAAATGAAACCACGACTGTGCTCTTACTTCAGGTTTTCCTTTGCTTTTACATTCCCGTGAAGGTCATAAATGCAGGATTGGTCACAAAGTTTTTTTTTTAATCCCCCATTGTAACTGTGAGTGGTCATTGTCTGAGATAGTTGCTAAATGAGGACTACTTGCACATAGGAAATCTGTATGTCAGATTTGTCAAAATGTATTTTTTTAAAAGGCTTTGGAATTCTGATCACTCTCAAATATAACTTTTGCCTTCTAATAATGCTTATACTATCCATAAAATCAGTGCCCACTGCTGGGAATGATTCAATACTGTCAAAAGAAAAGCCCACAGTATCTGAAGTAGCAAGAAATAGCTAGAGTATTTCTTCTCATTGTTGCTTCAAAATGTTGGATCAAAACATGGAAAAGAATAGCATACAGAATATTGGCCACACCAGCCTTTCTTCAGGGTGGGCTGTGTGTTAATTTATATACACAACATTAATTGTATGCATCACAATTGCGATAATTCCCATTCAGTCTAGATTCTAAAATTACCTAGCTGTGCCTTTATTCAGGCCATTGAATTAACTAAAAGAAAGGGTAGCAATTTTTGTTTCCTGCGAAAGCTTGAATTTGTCAACAAAGTAAACCACTCTCACCAATTAGGTCTTCTTGCACACAAAGACCATTGAAAGCATTGCAACAAATAGGTAGGTATTATGATCGTTCCTTCTTTGTTTTCAATATGAGAATAGTATCACAATTGTTTTGAGTATTCTAAAATAATGTCTAAAAAGTTAAAATCCCCATTGTGCTACATAGGAATGGATAATTACAAACCAATTCTACAGTGGGAGCATGGAAAATTTATAAAAGCACAATCAGTATTTCCCAAAATTTGGTAGCCTGTTCTCAGTGAGATAAATACAAGCATTTTCCACTTTTTCTGGAAAGTATCAAACAAAATTACAAGCAAAAACTGAGTGAATGTTTTTTCCCCTGTATTATTATCAAAGCATCAATAAAGAATATTCAACTGTTAAAACAATATTTGGGGGAATATCTCTTTTCCAACCATAAATTCTGTAAATCCTGTCCCGGGATCACAGATTGCTATATATTGTTTTATTTAACAATTCATTTCTTTTACAAGGTGGAGGATTTTTTGGGTTACACAAAATAATCCATTTAATTTCATGAAAACAATAAATTTAATTATAACTTTAAATTTCATTTCATCAAAAACAATATGTACTTCAGCTCACAATTTTGACAAATGAATTTATAAACTGCTTGAAAAAAAATAAATTCTAATCTTACCAACACATTCACCATCCTGAAGTTCATATCCTGATTGGCAGCTGAGTTGTTGAAGACACGTAAATGATCCAATTGTATTGATACAATGTTCTCCTCTCTTGCAAGTATGAGTATCTGATACGCATTCATTAATGTCTGTGAAAAGACCACATGCCAGCATATCATATCGCAAAGTATAGATCTTTTTCAAATTTAGTACAGCATGAGGGGCATAAAGATACAGCATAAATTATTTGTCCAGAAAGAAAAATTTATATGATTGGATTTTTAAAATTTCTTGCCAATTTTACAAATGTTTACAATATTTTAATTTATAGGGAATTCTAGGAGATGTTCTACTTTTAGTTTTGCCTTGAGTGATGCATTCAGTCAAAGTCATTATGTAATCAATTTACTCTAATAGGACACAGAAGTTAGGAAAGTATGAATGCAAGCACACATATTACATATAGAATATTCCTAATTTATATAGCAAATATAATTCAATTTTACAAGGCAAGCAATCACTTCATCACCACAGGACACAAAAGATATATATGAATAATGTAACAAAGCAACCAAGGAAGAACCACAGGAATGAGTAGGAAGAAAAAATTATGCTTTGAAGCTCATAAGAATAACTTGTGTTATACGATCAAGTGGGAACTATAGTGAAAGCTTGACACTTGAAATGGAGCATAATCATTGCCATAATTTTGAATTAGGTAGTATGTCTACAGTGGTATGTTTCATGCCCAGCATGTGTTAATGAGAAATGAACCATGTCTGTGATCCTAGTGTGACTGGCAGCATATAGATTATTAGGTTGCATGGACCCTTACATATCTCATACTTTATTTTTCCAGCTTCCTATATAATTTTCAAACCCAGAAATGTTTTATTGTTATCATTACATGCTGGGCACGAAGTACGCCACTATGGTGGACATACAATCTAATTCAAAATTATGGCAATGATTAGGTTACATTTCAAATGTCAAGATCTTGCCACAACTTCTAAACATGGACTTTAATTTGTAATACACATATAGCACAATTTGATACATAAGGATAGGAACAGCAAAAGGCTGGGTCAGAGAAACCTTTCAGTTCTTTTCATTTCATTTCTAAACCCTCAATCAATTTAATATATACTTTACATGCCACAATGGACACACAAATAGTATGGGCCTGAGAAGGAAAGTTACCAAAACATAATGTAGCTTTTTATGCCTTCTCCTCAAACAAACTGCATCCAACAGCACATTTTACAGTTGAATAATTGTGTCTCAGTCAAGCAAAGTATATCTCTAAGATAAAGTTAAAGGCAGAAAAGTAGTAGAAATCTCATTTAGCAGCAAGGAATAAAACAGGCAATAAAACCCAGCAATCAAGAAAAGATAACAGGGCAGAAGAAACTTCCTGTAATACTGCACATGACAATACAAGAAAACAGAGAACCTTTAAGCAAGAATAACAGATTTCAGCTAAATAGAGCAAACTGTTGCAGAGTAAGAAGTAACTGGATAACAGAAACAATTATCTGCTGATTATTGCCCTTTCTTACTCGAGCTCTTCAAATAATGGAGAGGCATCCTAGCATTTGGATTTCCTGCCCCAAGCAAAAGTGCTTTCTCCAATCTGTTGTCCTTCAAGTCTATTAGAATTTTAATTCCCACTAGTACTCAACCAGCTGAACTGCAATTTCAAAGTATCTGGAAAGTACCAAGCAGGGAAAGTTGACCTACAAGACTACCCTCCACAAGCTGCGGTGTTCGTCAAAAAGCTTCAGAGATTACAGGTGAAAGAAAATAGAATGCACAGTGAATCCCTAAGTGACCTTGAATATTTAATCAAAACTCAAATGATATGGAAACAAGAAAACAGAGAAGTGTCCAATTATTTTCTGCATATGGAAGATTTATAAATAGCTTCTCCTGGGAAAATGTACATGTCAAAGCAATTTCACAGGTTTTACTTGCATGTTGATTGATTTCAGCTGAATGCAGGGCCTTGGCTGGGGAGAGGAAATGCAAAATGTGAACTTGTCTTCAGCAGGAAGGAAAATAAAAACCACGAACATCTCTATGAAGAAAATATTTCCATATCTTCAGTGTAAAATGAACATACAACATTTCCAGTAATGTAAGCAGAAGCAAATTATGAAGTACTTGGAAAAATAAAGTTTAATTAAACGTTTAGAGAAAAGTTAGTTTCTAGTCTTGATTCTATGCCTGCTGACTCAACAGAGCTCATAATAGTATTATATCTTAATCACTTATAGAGTGATGAGTTACAACTTCCTCGAAATATTGTTATAGTTACAAATGAAGTCTCACTGATTTAGGACTGTCCCACTTAGGACAGCATCTCTGACAAGTTCTGAAGAATAGCCAAGGGCCCAGAAGATTGGAGAATGGCTAGTTTTGCAATAATAATCCTTACTTCAAGTATTGGGTTCAGTTCTACACACTCCAATTTAAAATAAACTGGAGTAAGTCTAGAGACAGATTACCAAGATGGGGAAAGGACAGTGAATGACTTGTCTCCAGAAGTTGTAGAGGCTCCAACACTGGAGGATGTTAGATATTGGACAACCATTTTGTCTGGAAAGGTGTAGGGTTTCCTGCTTGAACAGGGGGTTGGATTGAAGACCTCTAAGGTACCTTCCAACTCTGTTATTCTGTTCTGTCATTCTGGAAATCAAGTCCTACAAGAAATGGCTAAAAGGCCTAGGTATGTTTAGCTTGCAGAAGAGAAAGTTGAGAGGCGACATGGTGGGTTGTCATCAAATTACTGAAGGGCTGTCTGTCACACTGCAGATAGTTAAGATTTACAGTATTCTCACTTGCTCCAAGGGGTAAGATTCAGGGGTGGGATTCAAATTTTTTAACAACTGGTTCAGTGGGCGTGGCTTAGGTGGTGGGCATGGCTTTGTGGTCATGTGACTGGGTGGACGTGGTTTGATGGTCATGTTATTGGCTGGGCATGGCCAACTCAATATCACTCACATCGAGGCATGCATCTCCTTGCCTGGTCTCTCATGACTGTGGGGATGCTGCAACAGTTGTAAGTGTGAAAAATGGTCATAAGTCACTTGTTTCAGTGCCACTGTAACTTTGAATGGTCACTCCACACAAGCAAAGTACCAGCAAGGGAGGGGAAAAAATCTCCAGAGAAGTTCCAGAGACAGAAAGTCTAGCCCTGCCAAGAATGTAATAAGGGTTAAAGGAAAGGCAGTTTTTGTAAGCAACACCAGAATGTTTCCTTCCTGCTTCCTTACAGGATTAGGCCAGTAATTTCTTCTAACAACCGGTTCTCCAAACTGCTTAGAATGTTAACAACCGGTTCTAGCGAATAGGGGCGAACTGGTAGAATTCCATCCCTGGTAAGATTAGATGAAGTTTCACGGACACAAATACACACTAGGAAGAACTTCTTGACAGTGAGAACTATCAATTAGTGGAAGACATTATCGATTTTAGATATTAAAGAAATAGTTTTCCTAAGACCCACTCTGCATCCTATAAACACTGCACCCTATAAACAACTGGATAACCAAGGGAAATAGCAATGAAAAAGAAAAGAACAATAAACTTCTAAAATGATGGATTATGGAGACAAGAGTATGTGACAGCAACTTGGACTATTAGAACACATCATCCATTTGTGGTTTACTACACACTCAAAGAATTCAATAAGGATGAACAATAACAAATGTATTACATGTGCCACAACATGTACAATAGAGGTAAACACACAATGCTGTGACTTGTCACATATAGGAAGCTTTACACATACTAAATTGAAGCTGAAAAGAAGGATGTGGACACGGTAGCTTAACTATTAATATGAAAAGCACAGTCCCTGTAAACTATCCAGTGAGATGGTAGAGGTCCCCATATACACAGAGCATCATGCAAATGGGAATGGTTGTTTCAAGACCTCCTTGCTTAGATGAGTTGTAGTCTGTGGTTGCCATTTGGCTTTCCCTTTTGATATGTGAAAAGTACACCCTTTAGAACCCTGATCCAATCTTTAGAAAAGCATATCTTGTTAATGCATATTTGGATTACTTTGCTTAACCTGTTCTTTGGAGAAAGCAATTACTATGAATTATCTACTCTTGCTTGAAGTTCATTCTTTACAGTTAATGTCAGGCTCTAGATTGAAAGAAGCTCTAAATACCTAAACTTGCACTGCCCAAGAAGTGGACAAGTGCCAATAAGGAAGAGATTGTGCAGAATAAAACCCCTATAGTTCTTTTGTACCAATTTGCTTATGTTACTTTTTAATGGGTTAATGGACATCAAGGCTGAATATCATGAGCTTCTTTCCAATCCTGGTTTGGAAAGTGAATTGGCTGGGCAAAGAAGTCCAGCCCTAGTAAAGCCCTAGCAAAGTCCTGCCCTGGAGATTTTAGAAGTCTCCTGCAAGGAACCACCTAGAAGGCAAAATGGGGCATTGAGTGGAAGAAAGACACTTATGTTGTTCTTTATGTTGCACTTCAAAGAAGCAATGGCCCAAAACCTATGAGGCAAAAAATAAAATCTAGTTTACAAATCTTAAAATAGGCTCCCTCTCCAAGCATTTATAAATTTTGCTCACAGTTGACAACTCAATTACTCCTGCATGGAAATGTCTTCTATTAACAGAAATACCATCTAAGGGTTTTGTTAATTACTGAAAGCAAATGGAATGGTCAAGAAAAGGGCAATCCATTGGGATCTTGGAGTTCTTTAAGAACTTAATTTCCCCAGACCCTTGCAGGTCTATTGCCTCTCTTGAGTTAGCATAAATTATTCGCAGTCCAGATTCCATGGTTCCTGTTTGCTATTGCCTGAAGCCTGACTAACTACTTCCTTTAGCTATTCAGTCACCAGAACTAATTTATAGACAACCGGTATACTGATGGTAAATGCAAACAGTTTCTATACCAAGGAAAGCTATAATAGTTTTCATTGACATAACAAGAACGCCAATTCTCCCACATTGCAGCAGGAATCATACTAGTATTGGCTATCAGCTACACTGAGCTTCATTGGCTGAAAAATGAGATAATGCAATAAATAACAAACAATACAATATAGGAACCATTTCCACATTTCAAAATTACCTTGTAGCACAGGACCATGAACCAAAAACACCAATAATGTTAACGTAAGCCACAAATGTTACGACATTTTACTAATACTATTAAACTGCCAGAACAAGAGTTAAAGTATCACAAAGTTAGTCCAAGTTTTATAATGTATATATGTATCTATGCATATGTACATTTTTAACATTAAAAGGGTGAAAAGTAAAATAGCTTGGTTGTGGGAGGGGGGTTCTGTTGTTTCATTATTAAACTAGGTAACATCACCTGTTCCTAAAAGGGAGTGGGTTTTGCTATCTGTTTATATACAGTAGCTGCCCTATGAGTGTTGGTGGGAGTGTTGCTGTTCCAAAGAATTACCAAGAAGAAACTCACTGATCTAGCAGAAGTACAATATTACATTGATTTTCATGGCATAATTTACATTTACAGTACATTTATAGTCAAATCCCATTTTCAGATAGGTTGGGAGTGGAGATGAAAAGTAGCTCTGCCAGAGGCTTTTAAGAGGTAACTGACTCTGCCTCATTCAAAGTGGAGTTTAATTAACCTTTTCTTACAATTGAAACCTTCCCATGTTTTCTTATTACAGAATATCCATTAAGGATAGATACATGGAATAAGTGTTTCTTGCCTTTCTGTTAGGCATGCTAGGTGACAGCCATATGGAAGCACCCTACAAATTGTGCAAAATGGAATCATATATTTTGCCCAGTGAAGGAACTAACTTTCATAGTGTGAATAGTTAGAATATGCAACGCATCTAGAGAATTGTAAATGAAGGTAAAGCATGTGCTTGAATTGTTTTACAACTATTTGTAAAATAAATAGACCAAAAGCTGTTTAGAGATGTAATATGTAGGCTTTATAGGGATATTTATCTTTTCAAGTAACTAAAATAATAGAACCATTCTGACAGTATCTAAAGGTCCACCAGTAGGTAGAACTGAAAAGTAAGGATTTTGATTTCAGCAAACTTACCTTCACAGGAAACACCATCTGACAGGAGGACAAAGCCAAGTGAACAAGAACACACAATTTCCCCTTTCACCATATTACAAATGTGCTTGCAGGGACCATTATCTGGGAAACACAATATTTCAAAACACATTGAAAACAATTAAAGTGAATTCCTTTTATATTATAATTATATCTGGGTCATCACATCAGAAAATAAACATGCAAATAAACCACATACCCCAGAGGTGGGATTCAATTTTTTTTATACTACCGGTTGTGTGGGTGTGGCTTGGTGGGTGTGGCATGGGAAGGATACTGTAAAATCTCCAGTCAGAGGTGGTATTTGGCAGTTCTCTGAACTATTCAAAATTCCCACTACCGGTTCTCCAGAACCGGTCAGAACCTGTGAATACCCTTATATGCTGAATCATTCTTTAGAACAGGGGCCCCCAACCTTTTTTGTACCATGGCCCGGTACCGGCATCACAAAATGACCCGCGGCCCGGTACCAGCATCAGCACGCATAACAAGGCAAGGCGAGCCGAGTGACCGGCCAGCCAGCCGTCCCCCGCTTCTCCCCGCCACCTTCAACTCCCCCTTTGTGCCTTTTTTGTGCTTTTTTGTGCTTTCTTAATCTCCTCCGCCATCGGGACGGCTCTTGATTTGAAGCCGCCACCCCTCGATGAAACTAAGGCACAAGGATTCCTTCAGGACCCAAACGCCGCTTTCCAACCAGAAAAGCTCACCTGGAAGCACTTTTTCGTCGAAACAAGATGGTGGCGCCCAGCAAACCGGCAGCCCAGTAGAAAATGATCTACGGACCAGTACCGGTCTGGGGCCTGGTGGTTGGTGACCCCTGCTTTAGAATATTTCTTTTATTTAAAACACACCTGAGCTAAACTTATCTATGAGGCTGAAATCACTACATACAGCTGTGTTGCACAAACAACTCTAAACAGCTAATATTAAATAACCTTGAGTTTTCAAGTTAACCTTCAATTATGCAGCACATTATCCTCTGAGCTTCTGATTTTCTTTTTTGTCAACCTACTGGAAGCTATTTGGACTAGTATTGAAATAAAAATCACCAAGGAAGCTTTTAATGATTTTCAAACACATGAAAAACAATATATAGAGTTGTATGTTCTATGAAATGTATGGCTATATACATTAGATAAATGAATGAATGAATGAATGAAATAATGAATACTTATCTCCAGCTCCCAATAAGACATACCTTTACATTTATCTACTTCTACTTGTAAAGTGTTGTTGGTTGCAGGTTGAATATTTAAAGCTTCTGGAGCTGGAATGGCTTTCTCCCCTAAGGCAGTATTTTGTGCATCATCTTCAAAATCTAAAATAAATATATATTACAGAAATATTTTGATTACATTATTTCATATCTTTATATTTCCAAAGAAGATTTTCTTTGGAATATTCAAATAACTCTATAGTTTACTGGGAAACATAGTAATTGAACTCTCCCACCTTGTGACATACAAAAAGAAATAACACAAGGATGCTTACTGTCTCATATCTTGTTTATTTTGATCCTTCAAATATTAAATATATAAAAAGACATGAGGATGTGGGAGCAAAGATTTAACAATAAACTTATAAGTCAAGGGCTTTTGTTGATGACTTGGTCTTGATTTTGGAAGATCCTTTAAGGGGAATTGAAATATTAAAGGGAAAAGTAATAGAAGTTGGTATACCAGCTGGTTTTAAAATTTATATACAAAAAAATGAAAATTTTAACAAAAAGATGGAAAATAGGGAATTGAACAGAACTATTAAATAAAACAGGTTTTCAGATGGAGAAGAAAGTCAAACAGGTGAGTATCACCATGACAAATATTAAAAATGGCAAACCCTCTCCAGTAATGTCCAACTCTAATTGTGTGCTATTTCAAAATAACTATGGTAAGAGATGGAATGAAGTTAAAATGTTAAGAAGGGAGAAATTACAACTATCATTGCTGGGGAGAATTTCTATGATTAAATACTAGTTGTTACAAGATGCAAAGGAAATGTATCATCGATATATGTCACTAGAGACATTGTCTAGAATGTATAAATGCACTTCAAATTTATGTTGGAAACCGGCATTGGTACTTACCTGATACGCCCGTTCTCTGTGAGCTGCGAAGAGCATCCAGTGATGGGAAGGTGTTTCAGTCCCTTCTAGGAAGGCTGGGTTTAAACTTGAGGACACTCCTTCTCCTCCACGAGACTCCTGCTTAGAGTCCCCAGTTTTGCAAAGCTGAGGTATTGATACCCTATATGCTTAAGCCTATGTAATAACCCTGGCTGGAACAGACCCCCTACCAGATGAAATAAAAGGGTAGGGCTGGATGCTCTTCACAGCTCACAGAGAACGGGTGTATCAGGTAAGTACCAATGCCCTTTCTCCCATGAGCTGTTCAGTGCATCCAGTGATGGAACATACCAAAGCTTTGCACTGTCCTAAGGGAGGGACTCCATCTGGGTTGCAGACCTAACTGTCTCTGAAATAACTTGCGGCAAATCTCGCCTACCAAATGAAGCCTCAGCAGAAGCAAACATGTCAATTTTATAATTTCTAATAAATGGAGATGGAGAAGCCCAGGTTGCAGCTTGGCAAATCTCCTCTATTGTAGCTTGGGTCACCCATGCTGCTGTGGTGGCTGCACTCCTGGTGGAGTGAGCAGTAATGCCTTGGGGCACTTGAATCGAGTGAGAGTCATACGACTTAGCGATGGTGGCCCTTAGCTATTTACCTATGGTAGAGGGTGAAACCTTGTGTTCCAGGGTATTAGGCTGAAAGGACATGAAGAGGGCTTCTGTCTTTCTGGGGGGCGCCGTGTGCTCTATGTAGATGCGTAAGGCCCTTCTTATGTCCAAGCGGTGCCATTGGTGTTCGAGCCTGTGTGATGGACGTGAGCGAAAATTTGGGAGCACCAGCTCTTGAGCTCTATGGAATGCTGAATTAACTTTTGGAATGAAGGAGGGATCTGGTCTGAGAACCACACTATCCAAATGGAAAATACAGAGATCTTTGAGCACCGATAATGCAGCTAGTTCAGAGATTCTTCAGGCAGATGTAATTGCTATCAGGAAAATGACTTTGTAGGTTAGAAATTGAAGCGTCGTGGTCCTTAGTGGCTCAAAGGGACCTGTAGTAAGGGCCAACAGTACCTTATTTAAGTCCCAAGTTGGATATCGGTGCACTACAGGGGACCTCAAGTTCTTGGCACCACGCAGAAAACTGCAAATGAGAGTGTGATTAGATATGGAGGTAAGATCATCCCAAGATATGACCAAAGCCAGGACTGCCACCTGTCTCCATAGAGTATTGGGTGATAACCCTTTGTTTAGGCCCTCCTGTAAAAATTCTAATAACTGCACTACAGATAGGGAAGTGGGGTCGATCTGAACCCTCTGACATCAAGGGCAGAAGCTAGACTAGATGGCCTCATAGATTCGGTTCGTTGAAGGACATCGAGCCGACTGAGTAGTGTGAACAACTTGAGTAGAACAGTGTTCATCTCTCAGACATCGCCGTTCAACTTCCATATGGCTAAGTTTAGCCATTGGGGGTCCAGGTGTAGCACTGGGCCTTGAGACAGTGATATGACCGATGATGGGATCCTCCACGGTGGTACTGTCAAGAGGTCCTTCAGGTCTGCAAACCATGCTCACCTCGGCCAATAAGGAGCCACTAATAGCAGGTCCGCTTTTTCTTCCAGCAACTTCTGAATCATTTTGGGGATCACGGGGAGGGGAGAAAAGGCGTACAGCAGTCTGGTGGGCCAGTGACATCTGAGGGCGTTCATGTCTTCCGCTCCCTGTGATAGGTAATAAGAAATGAATCAGGGAAGCTGTGCATTGAGTGGGGAGGCAAACAGGTCGACTGCCGTTGGCCTAACCTCCGAGTAGCCTCCAGAAATATCTTGGGATCCAGATGCCACTCTGATTGGTCTAACGTGGCTCTGCTGAGCCAATCTGCTTGTACTTTCACTACTCCAGATATGTGTTCCGCCTTTAGAGAGAGAAGATGGATTTTGGCCCATAGGAATAGTTTTTCTGCTTCCCTCATTAATAGATTGGAATGAATGCCCCCTTGTTTGTTGGTATGGGCCTTTCTAGTTATGTTGTCTGTTAAGATGAGCATGTGTTTTCAGTGGAGATGTGGGAGGAATTGTTAGAGTGCCAAGTACACCGCTCTCAGTTCTAGCCAGTTGATATTGTGTGCCTTCTCTGAATCTGTCCAAAGGCCTTGCGCTGTATGTGATTGGAAGTGGGGGGCCCATCCCACTAGACTGGCATCTGCTGTAACAATCAACCTGTGTGGATCCTTGAAAGGGCATCCTTTGTTGGTTTCAGGTCATGTCCACCAGCGTAGAGACCTGAGAACGGTTGATGAAACTTTTATGAAAGTCCTGGCGTCATCTCTCCCGGTGCATTGGTTTGGCAACAGGAACCATTGCAGGGTTCTTGCATGGAAATGGGCCCAAGGGATAATAGAAATACAAGAAATCATTTTTCCAAGCAATTTAGAAAGGAGACATAGTTGTACTTTCCTAAGAGTTCTGATCTGTTGAGCCAAATCTCTAAAGCTTTCTTGTCTGTCGGGGAGAGGAAGACTTTGCCTTCCAGGGTGTCAATGATGGCGCCAAGGTGAATGAGTCTAGTAGAGGGTATTAAATGGCTTTTTGACCAATTGATTGAGAACCACGTTGTTATAAGGTTACAAGTGTAGTTTGAGTGTTCAAATTTGCTTGATTGATGGAAGGTGCCAGAATAAGAATGTCATCCAAGTAGCATTGAAGTCGGATGGACCTATCTCTGAGTGATGCTGTCAAGGCAGCCGAGACCTTTGTAAAAGTTCTGGGAGCTGAAGCTAGGCCAAATGGGAGAGCAATATATTTGTAATGGACATTGTTGTAACAGAAACAAAGGAATTTGAAATGTGAGGGCCTAATTGGGATATGTAAGTAAGTTTCCGTGAGGTCTATGGAGGTAAGGACATCGTTTTTCTGATGCTGAGTAAGATGGATTGGAGAGTGGTCATTTTAAATTTTTGGTAAACTAAATATTGGTTTAGACGTTTTAAGTCAGGATTGCACTCCATCCCCCCAAACTTTTAGGTACCATGAAGAGGTGTGAATAAAAGCCAAGACCTTTTTGATTAGAAGGGACAGGTTGTATGGCCCGGATCTCTAGTAGATGTGCTAGGGCTAAGTCCATGAGAAACCTTTTTTCTGTGTCCCTGGAAATTGGGGACTTCATAAAAAAATCCGGGGGTGGTGGTGGTGGAGCTGAACTCCAGTGCCGGACCAAATCGTACTGTGTTCCTGGCCCATGTGTCAGTGGTAGAGGAGTCCCATTGGTCAGCAAACATTTTTAGGTGACCGCCAATGGGAATCACGTTCTGGTCATTACTTGGACCTGCGGAAGGGACTAGATCCTGTTCCTCAAAATTGTCTCCTAGAATGGAGTTCCCTTCTATATCTGTCCCCAGATTCAATTCTATCTGTCTGTTGTCTGAATCCAGGCTGTCTTTGAAATCTTGGATAGTAGGGTTGGTAGAAGGGGCAAAAGGAACCCCTACAAAAGGGCTGTGGTGATCTTGACTCTGATCGACGAAAAAGAGAGGGAAGAATTTTCTTTTTGGTTCTGGTTTCAATTAGGAGGGGTTCAAGCTCACTGCCAAATAGTTTGTTCTCTGAGATGGGAGCTGAGGCAAGCCACCACTTGTGCTTGATGTCTGCCTGCCACTGCTTGAGCCAAAGTAACCTTCTAGCCACAATTTGGGAAGCAATGGCCCTAGAGGAAGGGCCTACAATGAAGGTAGTGACTACCGAAAACTCTGCAGTGGCGATTAATTTAGCCACATCTTGATGTGCCCTAATGTTTGAGGCTGGAATGGTATCCCTCAGGTGGCGGAGGCATCTGAGAGATGATCTGGTAAAAAAGGAGGCTGCTGTGGCTGCTCTGATGGCCCATGCATCCAAGACGTGTGCCCTGTGGAGGGCTAGTTCTGCCCTCTTTTCCTCCGGCTTGAGAGCCTCTTCAGCTTCACTTGGGATGGCTGAGGAAGATGCAAGCACGATGATAGGCTCATCCACTTCCGGAGTGTTTCAAAATTTAGAGAACTCAGGTGCCAAATTATAGTATTTTTTATCATGTCCTGTGGATATGAGGCTGCTGCAGCCCATTGTTTTTGCACTAAATTGGAAAACATGTGTGGCACAGGGATAACCTCTGCCTCAGTGATTGGTTGAGAGAATATGAGAATATGAGAATCTGCTTCCCCTGGAGTATTTGGTGGAGGAGGGGTACCCGTATTATCCAGCCCTGCGGCGTTCTTGG